TTTTTATGAGAGTATAACATTATGACATGATATAAAACTCAAAAAGGTTGATTTTACATGATATTGCCCCTTTAAGACTGATTTTACTTTACAGTGTTGTTTTATGTTKCATATTCCAATAACCAGTGTTAGCTGCGTGTCATGAATATAAGGATGATTGTAAATCATTCCGGTTCAACAAACTTTAAATGGATTATGTTTTGGGAGGACAGAGAAGATGAATAATAATGACAGTTAGATTTTCTGACTTTTGATAAAGCATCAACAACAAACTAATGTTCTATCCAGCCACCCGCTCATATTTTTTTTCATCTCACTTCTTCCTGTTCAGGGTCACAAAGAGCTGGTGCCTATCTCAAGCAGCCGCTGGGCAAAAGGTGGGGTACACCCTAAGTTGCCAGTTTATCACAGGATCATACAGAGAACAAGACAATTTGGTGTCACCAATTAACCAAACCAGAAGTAGTCAGAGAAAACCAATGCATGCGCAAGGAGAATATGCACATGTGACACAAAAAAGATCCAAGCCAGGAGTCAAACCTGCTACCTTCTTGCTGAGAGGAAACAGTGTTTGCCAAGTGCAGGAGTAAAAAGAAAATCTGACAAGCCTTTGAATGGATTTTCTACAGAAATTAAATGCTTAACAGGTTTTATTGATTTTCATAATCCCTGAATAGTCTTCACAAACCCATGCGTTAGTTTCATTGGATTAGAAGATCTGTTGGACGGTCTCGACTGTTTCAGCTACATTCAGCATCCAGTGTTGGTTTAGAATAATGGGATTCAATCTTTTGTGGTCTTAACAAATAAATACACAGGTCTCAAAACCATCATTACCATTGTTTTGTTTTTAAATGAAATGAGCACATTAAAATAAATAAATTATTATCATTATATGTGTGCATCATCTCAAAGTTGAGAACTCTCCCATCTCTTTACATTTGAGACCCCTCAGCTTTTTTGCCTTCACAKAACTTTATGCTTTTTTTACACTCAAGTCAGTGCATCACAGGATCTGCCCCCATGTCAGTCAAACAGCTGTTTTTCTTATACTCACTGTCGAGGCATGGCGTACAGACGGTCTGAGAAGCTCCACAGGGTGTGACGACACCCTCGCCAGGCGGACACTGCTTGCAGCATTCTCCACTCGACGTGTACTGCCCTGAGGAACATTTCTCCTCATTGGCCAGAGCGCCGGCCTGCCGTTCAGCAAAGAGAGACCAGGCAAACAGTCACTTCACGAGAAAAAGCAGAAACAAACTCCGTCTTGATTATTTTTGTCTTTTCCATGAACCTATTTTTGACACACAAACCCTGGGTTTCATGGATGGGGATCAAAACCGGAGGCAATTTCTTTATGTGCTTCTAAAACACAGAACTGCTTATCTTGCTCTGGCTTCTAAATGTACAAAACTGAAGACAATTTACAAAACAAAACTCAGGGTTATAGAAAGCTGTAAGCACCAGATTGGACCCATCGGATCATAAAGGGGCATTTGCTTTGTTTAAAGCATCACATGCAGAATAATGAGAAACTGCAACCTCACATGCAGAGCCTGTGTAAGCATTTACAAGTCATGTAGTAATGAAAGCAACATAATCAACCATCCAGACCAGGTTAGGCTGCTCTTCTCTCCAACATTCTTCAAAGACTAACCTGCTGCGTGCTTTATCTTAGCTGTTGACAGGCAAAGATGTTTGTGCTTGCCTCTGCTAATGCATAAATGCAGGAGAATGTGCAAAAGCTCGTACACTTCATGTCTGGGCCCAAGTTAGCAGGATAACTTTGTTAGCTTCTGTTTCACTTTCCGGTATGACTCCTGCTTGTTCTGATATCATTTCCAATCATGAAGCAGTGAGAAACAAGTGAGTCAGCTTTTTTTAAGTATTGAGGAGCATCTTAAGTGAGAGTGAGTCAAACAGTACAGATTTATCAGCCTTTGGAGGATGTGCGCACACTTATACATGCAAGTGTGTTTATTTGAAGGCAGCGCACTCGGCGTAAATCGTCAGGGTTCAGGTGTGCGTGGAATGCTGCTGACAAACCATCAAGCGTCCCCTCAGGCACACCTGAGTCAGCTGACAYAAAGTATCAAACATCTGTGTTCAGGGAAGTGTGCGCGCTCATTTACTCTGGCTCTCGTCAGTGTCACGGCCTGTTCACCTGCTCATTTTTAACAATGTGTTCTCTTCTTTGTGGGGGTTCTTCAATGATGTTATTACCGCGAATTGTCTATTCATTGCGCAATTTTTTTACGTGAAGGAAACATCTGGGGAAGAAATGAGGCATTCCATCAGCTGGAGATGATATTATGTTAAGAATAATAAGGAAAAATTAATTTTCTGGTATCATATTTTGACCAAATTTCTTTCAGTAATTTTTGGGACATTTGTGCAACAAAAATCCCATAATTGTTGCACATACGGCTTTGTGCGTGCAAAAGTTTCAAACCACCTCTTATTTCTTTACACCTCCTTACCAACAAGCCAGACTTTTTCTAATCTTTTAAAGCTGTCCTGGTCAATAGTTCTCCACACATTTTGAAGGTCTTAAATAAACTTTTTTTTTTTGGACTTTGGATTTATTTTTTTACCAATTCAAACTAAGACAGCAGAAAGGTGGACAAGTGGAGATTTAAAAAAGTGTCATATAGCATCAGCAAATACCTGCTACAAAACTTGAGAGCTACACCATCCTCAAGTTTTTTTTATTCATTCATCCACATATTTTCACTTTTGTTCAAAACCGCAACATGGGCTCAATCTCCCAGTCCCATTTTGCAACAATTATTCATTTAAATTTGCCTCAAATCCATCCATCCCCTCAACTGTCCCACTTGTAAGTGTGCACACCCACAGAGACATATATCTGAACAAACTCGTCAACAAACCTCTCATGTGAACAAACCTGTTTCCAAATGACACTTGAATCAACTCCAAGTTCTAGCTCTTCGCATTTGCTTATTCGTTTCTTTTTTTGTTCACCCTTCTTTTTTTGGCTCCAGGTGTGGGTGCAACATTACTCTGTCTTAAAGACCAAGAGAGAGGTTTAAGTGCATCACTAATGTCTTGCTAAGTCGTGCAAACAGATCATTTAGAGGCTGTAATGTGATTTGAGTAAACATTGTGTGGATTAAAAAAAAGAAGGATGAACATAGTTTTTAGCAAGTTGGAGCTTGACTTTTACATTTCCTTAAGCTGATTTTAATGTGAGGGAAGTGAGTCAATCTTCTAACTCAGATGGAAGGCAGGATGTTTACCAAAGCAGCTGGACACAGRTTTAGTTCCAACCAGTTAAAACCATCCGCTTTTCAGATGGAGGCATGTAACATCCGGACCTCCACGGATGACGCTTCTTAAGCTGTCGGACTTTTACTAAATCTGCTTCCCAGTAAGACCGGAAGCAAAGAAGAAGAATGGRCGTGCGGTGGATCGAAGAGGAAGTGGGGAGGAGGAAGAGGTTGGGGGTTCAGCGTCTATCAATATTGTATGTGCTGAGCCAGCAGAGGATGCATACCCATCAGTGGGARCAGCTGTGGTCATGCAGCTCCCTATAGAGCAGGACGCACAAACACGGACCACGCTTTGTTTCTCCTGAAACGTGATTTAATTAAAAACAGGTGTCTAATATAATGAATGCATTCCTGGTGCAGAGAAACAAACAATATGCTGAAATATTATATTTTAGACTGATTATCTTAGAGACTTAATCTTTGTATTGCATGTTTTAAATTAAGTGTTTGACCTTAATTAGYRTCTATTTTTTTAGGGAATAAACATGCCAGTTTGGTATCGTTGTGTGCAGCACATTCAATATGGAGCTGAGAGAGAATAGAACATGTTTGAGGAGTTTACATTGAAAATTATAGATTTCCATGTTGAAGTTAAAGTCCAYAAGACCACCTCTAAGCAGCTGCATCTTCCTCTGACCACAGCTGCCAGTGTTATTAAAAAGCGCAAGGTTCACCGGACCCAGCCTCTCAGGATGTGGACGCAAGAGGAAATGCAACCCCAGTTTGATAAGACCGATAGCATGAATGGTAGAACAACCATCCAAAATCACTGAAACCAAACTTCAAGTTTAGGTCACGTCGTTTTCTGATTGCAGCATCCATCACATTTTAAATCATGAGCTTCATGGAAGAAGAGGAGAGCTCTACTGACAGGAAAACACAGAAACAGATGGTAATTTATCTAAATGCTTGTTGAAAAGCCCTATTCAAGAGAGAAGTTTCTGAGACTTATGARAGCTTTTAGGTCAGCCACATCGAACATGTGTTCATTTGGTTATAGTGGAAGGGTAAATTGATCTGTCTGCAGATGTGGAGCTGAAAAGTTTATTTCCYTCCTGGACCTTGTAATAAATCAGATTAGAACCTTGAACTATTTTGAGTTGTTGAAGCGTATATTCTCTRAAGATTTCTCTTCTTGTTTCCATCAGAATAAATGTTTCTGTGAATATTCTGCTCCTGTTTTATGTATCACTGGAGCTCATTTTTTCCTTGTGTTGACAGGGGCTCGTGGCTCCAAACAGTAAAAGACTATTTCTGACTCGAGCAAACTTTGTCGAAAGTCCAAATCTCCTTTTATGAGGATGAGCTTCCGCCACATAGTCTGTTATTGTCCTGCTCTCCGCAGGCACAAACGTAACTGAGACGGGTGGAACTGCAGCTCCAAGCAAGAGGASCTATAAAGTGTCAACCTGAATGGCTGCTTGCTGCTCACATCCGCTCTACTTTAAATTCATTGTCAGACCGGGGGGCCGGCAGGTGCAAGAGCAGTTTACGTATGAAGCAGCAAAATTAGGTTAAAAAAACAAACTTAAAGTAAAAAACAAAGTGAGGATGAAGCTTTCTAACAACTCAAACCGCGCGTAAAACGCGTCGCTATTTGGTCTGCTCGTGCGTAAAAGTTTTGCGTAAATGTTTAGATTGTAGGAGAGGCTGTACTCACCAGTCCAAGTAACACTGATAATAAAACCAATTCCATCCTGTTTCTAGCCTGCATGGAGAGGAGGAGGGAGAGAGTCAACGATGCAGAAGGATGCGAATCTCAGCAACTTCGAGGTGAAACAATCACAGCTGTCATCGCTGCGATCAGTTTTTTTTTTCTTTCAGCTTTGTTGTTGTGTGAGAGAAAAAGAGATCAGAAGAAAGTCAAGTCGCTGAGAAGTCAGTCCTGAATCTCCGGCTGCACAAACAGTCCGGTCARTGGAAACAAGCGACGCGGATGAGACATTGCAGTGAATATGTAGATATTTGGGGTTGTGCGCTCTTCTCGCACCGGGCACATGAAGCGCTTCAACTCTTCTGCGGCTTCAGGGAAAGGAGCCAATCCACGCCCACATGTAGGGCGCGCGCACACGCACACACAGAGCACGCAGTTTGTTCTATCTTTAACAGCTCAAATTATGGTCCAGGATGTTGTTGATCCTGACAAGCCACTAAAAGAAAAGTTTTTTTTTTCTTTTTTTTACTGCCAGACCAATTAGGTAATAAATCAGATGTCATGTTATCGACTCTGTCCTGCTTTTTGGTTAATGTGACCAATAAATAACAACACTAAATATGCTTCARCCTTTTTAAATGTTTATTCTGGTCATTTTTTGAAGAATCCAATCAAATAGCTTATCGGCTGTAACGTCAGTCATACAGAGGTTCTCAAAATGGGGTCCCTGAACCTCCAGGGGTCCGCAAGAGGTATCTTGGGGGTCCTCAAAAATTTTTAATAAAATGTTAATTTGGTTTTTATTTTTATAAATGCATGGAGAACAATGAACCAATAAAACAAACATAATAAACTTAAAAATATATATTCACATGGCATTTAGGGGTTGAAATGATAATAAATTATCTTTTAAAACAGCATACGGACTATGAGGGGGTCCCTGGAATTAATTTTGTCCTTGTAAGGGGTCCCCAGACCCAAACGGCTTGAGAACCTCTGAAAATTTAGATCACAGAGCAAATAAGGTCTTACAGGCTATGCTAACAGCTAGCCAAATGGGCCTGTGGTTTTTCAAGCTTCTAAAACAACACTAAACCTTGTCACTTTTCATACTGTTTGTTTATAGTTTGTTGATGTTTTCTGAATCGTATAACRTCCATGTAGCTATTCTAATGTCTGCTGAGCTGTGATCACTAAGTTACAGCCCCTTTAACCGGGTCTTGAGGATCTATTTCTTCCATTTCAACTTTGGTGACTTAATGTGGCCTTTTTTTCATAAAAGTATGAGATTTTTGAGAAAGAGTTGTTTTAAAAGCATTATTTTTGGCTGACTGTTGGGGAAGAAAAACAACTTCAGCCGGTTTTTCATATTTTATGTATCTAACTGCTAAAAATATAACAATTTGACAGAGACTTCAAAAATAGCCAGACTCTTTAGGATGAGCTTGAAAAATAAAGATTGATGCTTCAGATTCCTGTTAACTATTTGTCTGACTAGTTTGGTCAGAGCCTGGGGACAGAGGACACATAAGCAGAGCTCCAAAGACCTTCCTGAGGATGGACAGTATGAATGCACCCACTGACGTTTATAATGTCACCAAATCACTCTTTTCCATTGAACGATCCATTCCAACCCTTGTGACACAATGTAGACCCATGTATAACTCRTGTTACATCAGTTTCACATCACTTTTTTTTTCATTTAAAGASCTTCACAAGAGGCAATTTGCTCATGGACAAAGACGACACCGGAGATGGAAAATAGGCTGATCTGATCATGATGTTCTGCTCTGAGCGAGTCACCTTCAGTACAAGCCTGACAACTGTTTGCAAGTGTTTGTCTGGTTTCCAGTTTCCTCACAAACTGAAAATCCCTGAAGCAAAATGCGCAAAAGTCCTGTTGTGTGTCTTCATAACTTTATTTTAAACAATTCCAATGTACCTGCATCTATTGAAAGTCACTAAACAAGTTGGTGCTCATGTGATATCATTCACAGGGTGATGATGTGCCCTAAGAGGGTAACTAAAATCATAAATGAAAAGTGGATCAGAGTTTTATATCRTCTTTTGGTCTTATTCAGTAAAAGATTATATGGGACCAAGGGTAGGATCTTTGTGGCTCATTGAGATTTATGTCAGGACTAACTGCTGTGTGGGACATTAGTACAGCAGGTGAGCAGAGAGAGAGGAAGCTGCGCTGCTATTTGTGGATAAATARTGCATGAGGGCAATGACAGACAGGAAGGGAACAAGATAAAAGAAACTGAAAAAGGGAAATACATTTCAAAGTTTCCTGATGCATCTCAATAATCCAGGTAGAAAAATCAAAAAAAATAAGTTAGTCCTCTGGATGGGTTCTTCTTTATTGAAACGTTTCTTCAGAAACATTTTTCTCTTAAAAGCTGCATGCTTACTTTGTTTTTCTCTTCATGTGCTACTTACTTTCAGCTGTTAGCTTTTTGGTACTTTTGTCTTCAATTTAGCCTTTTGTTATTTTTAACTAGCATTTTGCTATTTTAGATTGTAGCTAGTCCGCTTTTAAGTTTGAACAACTCAGTTTAAGCTTCTTCAGGAAATTTCAGCAAAGTCATTATGAAAACGCAATTTCCCTGGTTACTGTCTGCAGCCGTTATCTTTCCTGTGCCKGTATTAAATTTAAATGAGTAAAATAAGGATGTGAAAGTTAACTTGCGTCAGGTAATGAAACTCAATCACGGATGTGCTCCGTCTAGCTCTGACCATCTGTTCTCAGAGATTTAACAGAAGATGGGTGGTCTGTGAGACATTCAGTGTCCCGTCTAAGGTTTCAGGAGAAGGCTTCTGTTCTGTTTTTAAACTATATTTATGAGGTCCGAAGACTGAAAGTCTGCTTCACTTCATGGGAGCAGAACAAAACCACTCGAGATTTGGAGATTAGATCTTAAATTTGAGTTAATGGTTACTATTAGGGCAAAGTTAGGAYAAGAGTAGGATTAAATTGTTAGAGTAAAAATCTCTTTAATGTATTATTATGAAAGTAAAACAGTTTATTTGTGCTTTTATCTGTATTGTCAAATGTCATCTTGTATGTCTTTTATTTGGGACTTATCAAATTATATTAACTCCTATTAAACTATCTTAATGCATCTCAGTAATCCAGGTAGAAAATAAAATTAAGTCCTCTGGACGGTGTTCTTCTTAAATGAAATGTTTCGCCTCTCCTCCAAGAGACTTCTTCAGAGTGTTTCAGGTAAACTCAGCCTTATAAGCACTGCCTCCACGTGGTGGACAAACAGGTTTAACAATGACAATCAACACTGTTTGTTCACATGCAACAGAGGACCATCAGCCTAACAATAAATGATGAGAACAGAAGCCCACCCATCACTCATGCATCAGCAACAATAAAGCAACACSAACAACTCTGACAATGTCGTCCACAGTTTTCATGCAAGCTCRCCCTCTAATGCACTGTAATGGCTGCAGAGGCATCATATGACGAGCCAAGGAAGCCCTTGAATTAGTCTGAGAGCACTCACACCAATAACTGGAATGAGAAGAGATATCATGTTGTGTTTCCCTGTTATGTTTTGTATTTCTGAGTGAATTTGAAGAAAACAGTCTCTCTCTCTCTCTCTCTCTCTCTCTCTCTCTCTCTCTCTCTCTCTCTCTCTCTCTCTCTGTTCGTGTGTGTGTCCTGTAAGGGTCTGAGCAGCTGGGTGCATATATTGTTCATTTCATTGTGAATTTGCTGTTTAAATGGAGTTATTAAACTTGTGACAGAGTGAAACCTCAGAGAGGCCAGATGGCAACAAACCCAACTCCTTCCCCTGGGATTCCCTCATCTTTACTGTATTGATCTAATCTGGCTCCTTTTTTTCCTTTTGTACTGCACATCCTCCCTCCATCCTCTGCAAGTTGTAACGTCACACAGAAAATGGCATAAATAACTTCTTTATGCATCCTGCAAAAAAAAGAAAAAAGAAAAAAATCAAGTGAGCATTTGTTTCTGACTAAATCTAAGAAATAAACACAACTTTATTAATGTACAACAATAATCATGGAGAAGATGGTTAGTTGAATATTTTATGGTAAAACAAACAAAGGTTCAGAATAAAGTTAAATAAATAGTTTGTCCTGTTTGTATGATATTCTGCCTGTGTGCAATWAAACACTTGATTATTTCATGTTGTGTTTGACAATCCCTCAAAGACATTTATTATCAGCATTTTTTTCTTTTCTGTGGACAYTTAGGGGACAGCTTTTATGACTGGGGGGTCATATAGGATTCCAGTTGGCCGTTGTATTGATCAGACTCRTTCTGTTGTTGGTAAAAACAAGCCTCAGGCTGTGGACAGTCAATGCATCCCATAATGCAAAAGAGACAGACGGTGTGTTCACTGTCACAATACTAACCCTGCCAAAGTCAAACACTCAAGCCAGAGTATTGTTCGTGTTGCTGAATTCAGTTGAAACTCAGTGAATGTAAAATCTCTTATAACGGCTTTTAAACTGTATTTATAGGTAAAAAAAAAAAATTTGAACGTAGAAATTCAGCTAAATAGAATAAAGTTCAACTGTGCTTTAAAGTGTTGTGCAAATATTTTGAATTTTTATAAAATTGCATTTCCATGCAGGATTATTAAAACGTTTTGACCTTGTTTTCAAAAAGATAGCTTTGTTAGTTTTTTGATTTGTGTATTTTCTTAGTTTCTGTTGTACATAGTTTTTTTTTTGTTTTTAATGAAACTAATAATTTTTTAATTGAAAATTGAATAGAAAAAATTGAAATAGTTTATTTTAACGTGAAGGTTTAAAGAAAGGTTGTCAGTAGTCAGCATCTTACCTGGTGCAGGTAGGTTCTTGAACGACCTCACTAAGGGGAAACAAGGTTTAATACTTAAAGCAAACAACTGTGGGTCAACACAAAAGCAAAACTGAAAGTGGTTTAAATGCCCATACAATGAATGTTTACATAAACTACTTATATATATATATTTTTTTTTAAAATACAGTTGACTTAAAACAGCAACAATCTACTTTGATTATGATCTCATCTGGAACTCAAGTGTCTGATCACAGCTAAGTTTTTCCAAACTGACATTGTTCGGGCTTACCTGCTGCAGGTAAGATACTTACTGCTAAAAAAAGGACTCTCTCTTCATAAAGTATGCATCTAGATTAGACAGGGGTAGGGTTGTTCCTTAGACTCCCACAAGACCACCCGAGAAACTCTGACACGTGTTTGAAGAGGAGAAACATTTTGAAAGTGGCTCTAAATTTACCTTCAAGTGTAGAAAGAAAAACTGATGTCAACAGGTCAGAGGTTTGTGACAAGCTAAAAGCTGACCCTGCCAGGAATGTCATTCAACACATATTCATTTGAAACACCTATAGATCATTTTTAGGGAAGAAGTAGAGTAGTCAAAAAACAAAAGGAGGTATACAGTTTACGAGTTGCGTTGAGTTTAAATAGTGGTACTTTATGATCATGATTAGATCTTAAGATCTGGTTGTTTTTTTATTATGTACATGAACAAATATCATGGATGTTAAAGTTATATAAATTGTCTGCCTTGCAAGGCAGCGACATTTTTTTGCAATATTTGTGAAAATAAATAATCAACATTTTAAAAATGACTAATTTAATCCATTTCGCTCTGTGATAAATAAGTCATGCCAAAGGCCTCATCCTTGCACGTCTAGCAACCTACTTTCTCTCTGCAGGTAGTGGGCCAACATGGAAGGGACTTCCTGTTCCAGGCTCAAACCCCAGGAACTGACTGGACCACCAGGTGAGCTTCCCTCTCAAGCCTGCCTTCAGGAGGGGCTCCTTCATCTGGGTGACGTCATCTGTTTTCTCTGGTCTTCCCTCAACAATGTCTTGAATTGTTTTTTGTTTGACTTATTGGTTCATTATGTTCTAACATTTGTTGATAAATGTTCTTAAATCTCAATGATATAGATTTTAAAACAGTCATTGACTGAGATGCTGGATGTCCACAACAATGCTGCCCCCTTCTGCCCATCGTTCTGCTCAGACAACAAAATAGGAGACTTCTCAGACATGGAAAGCAAAAAATTATTTCAGAGGTAAATAACTATTATTATGACCCCCGCACGTGAAGCGTAAGCAGGGGTCATATTGTTTTCGTAAGGTTATTTTATTTTATTTCTTTTTTTTTTCAGTGATTTTTGGTCAACCGTACTACAAAAATGGCTGCCCCGATCAACATGAAACTTGGCAGGATTGTAGATGAGTCTGACCTACACTGCGC